ATTGTTCGGGAAGTTCTCCACTGGTCATGGATCTTTTCCTTTTAGAGATAAAACATTCGGTGTACGGCAAGTATCTCGTGGAGGCATGTTCTCCATGTAAGAAGTTGGCCGAAACGGAGGGCGCGCAGAAGTTCCCAGAGCCCGCTTTTCCCTGGAGCGGGTAGTTAGATGCTAGGAGGGAAGCTATCATTATTCTCTCGAACGTAGGATGTGGCTCCGCCCATGGCTCCACTGCTTGCTTTCAAACTCGGCTGTACAATTCCAGTCAACAAACATGCAGATCCAAGAAGAAAGAAGATTAATTTTTCAGAACGGCCAAAAGGTCTTCTGAGAAATTTTTAAGATTACGATCTAATGATAAATCACCCCCATGTTTTGAAGTAGTTTTACACCTTAATGGGAATATCTATTTGGAAACCGACTTGATATTGTTCGCCCAAACGAAACGTCACTGAAGCACTGATTAGGCTAATGCCCAACGGTTATGCACAACAAAGGATTTTCAACAACGATTATCAGTGGATCAGGTATAGTATATTGGTAACATAGTTCAGTGATTGGCGTTCAGTGTTTTTGATTCATAAAATGAAATTGCCCACAGCAATCGTTGTGAACTTGGTCAAAAATTTTATGTTGATTTCGTCTTCTTTCTCTTTCTTGCCCTTAGTGCAATCAGCATTGAGCGTCTACAGCCCATTTTGAAGGGGAGCAATAGGTGAAGCGATAGGTGGAGCCAAGATGCGCGAGAGGCGTTAGATGCTTTTGGAACAAGCCTTTGGAAAAACCTGCTACACCGCCGGCTGAAATATGGTCCGATCCCGGAGCCGTGGCTGCCTTCATGGTCTGGATAGCGGCGCGTACTTCAGCAGGTAAAATCTGTGGTGGTATTGCTCCGGTAGGGATAACGGGTGTGAAACGGGTGTTGATAAGTGGAATAGAACTGAATGCTTCGTAATCAATTCCGTCTTTTGTCGGGAAGATGTGCGAGTTTCATCTTCGTAAATAAGTTGTCGGAAGACGGTGGTCAAGAAGGTCCACGCGATACTTCTTTGAACTTCTCCTTCCTCGTGCTGCTTCTAAAAGTTTCGATTGCCTCTCTTTTTGCAAAGCCATTCTGCAACTGATATTGGGTACCACTCGCTCGAGATGTGTTGCAGTCGGATCCAGCCTCAGTGCTTCTCCTCTCTAGCAGATCCTTGGTGGCTTCTGAAATTCGCCAAGTTCCTTATCTGAGGCTAAGGCACTTCCATCACAATTCCTCAGTCCTCTGAGAAACCCCGTTGGGTCCCCTCGATGGGCCAGTCACAAGTGGTCAGGAGCTCCTCATCTGAAGCTTTCGTATACGATTTTTCTCCTCCCTCCTATAAGGTATCTTCTTTTCCAGCTTTCGACTGAATCACACTTTTGCTCGAGAAAGGCGTTGATCTAAGCCACTGCTGGAGGACGGTACCACTGAGACGTCAGTAAGCTCAGTAAGCAACACCTTCGGTTGGTGAGAATGTGGTCAACTTCCGCATGTGTCGTACCCTTGGACAACTCCCATGTTCACTGGCGGTGTTCTTTCGTCATGAAAATGGAGTTGCCATGAAAAGTCGCATGGCGGATAAGAGCCCAACAAGACGGTTATCGTTCTCATTCCGAAGTACCGATCCAAATCTCCCGACTTCATATTCTTCTTCTGCTGGCATCCCTATTTTGCAAGGTCACCGCGACAAATTCGCAAAAGAAGTTCTCGCTTTTATTTCCTCCAAACTCTCATTTAATCTAGCTTCGAGTCATCAGCTGCTGATGTTGGAGAATAGCA